TCTGGACACAACTCTTTACAGGGGTCAGCTCTTCTCCCCCATCTCAAAGGGAATGCTACTCTGATTTATACTGTTCTGTAACCAGGGTGGTTTTAATAAAAAAATGGCACTTCTAAGGTTTTGCTTGAGACTGCTGGAAAGGGAAATAGGGAAGTGACCTGCTCATGACACCCTGTCTGAAACTGGAGTGCTGACTATTCTGAATATAATCAAGGCAAATTATACTGGACTGGACGGACCAGTGGTTTACTTAGCATAAGGAAAATTTCCATGTTTCCACATAGCCAAGCATATTCTAAAATTAACAACAGATTTTGGACTTGCAATGAACATACACTATCTAGGGTTCTTGCAGCAAATATGCAACATATCCCTCATTTTTAAAATAAAGGGTGTCATCATTTATTCCAGTCTGCAATCCACAAGCCCACACTAAATAATAGATTGCCCTGTCACCCTCTACAGCTATCGCACCAGTTTAGTAAGACAGGAGATACGGAAGGGAGAGAAAGAGAAACAAGTTTTTTCAGTTTTGCCACTGAAACCTGGAAATTTGAAAGGAAACTGGGAGGAATATTTTAATGCATTGTTTTAGTTTCCCCTTATTCCCCCAAAGTGCATCTGATAACTGCATTAAAAATTTACTGTACTAGGCACTGATAGTTCCTATACATTGCAGACACAACTATCATCTTCATGTTTCAAATTTCTCCATCTGCAGCAGGATTTGGAAGAAATCATGTTTAAAAATGTGCACACCAAATAAAGAACCTAATTAACAGGTGAAAAAATTGAAAATCCAAGCAAAACTTTGTACCTAAGGTCCACGAAGATAAAAATGTTTTGAATTTTACTTTCAGAAATTGATTCAAATTAGATCAACTTAAGTTGGCAGTATCTTGAAGGATTTGTTATTTGTTTAAATAACATATCAGTTTCACATGGAAATTCCAAGGATTTAAATAAGTTATAAAACCAAAACAAGCAGCTTAAAAAACTTTTTAATATTGTATGCGATTCCATTTGCCATTTATTGTTCATCACTCCAGAATCTGTTTAGATGTGAATATGGCATAGAAATGTGTGAACATTTTTTTAAAAGTTTAATTCAATATCATAATTTATTTATTTATAGACTTAGCTGCAACCCCTTAGCCACGTTTCTGGGATGGACAGACCTGCTATGTGATTAATAATGCAATCCTATAGATGTCATAAGTAAATACAACTGATTTCACTAAGGCTTAGTCCCAGATGAGTGGGTACAGGGCTGCAATCTGAGAATCCTTAATATTGTGAATTGTTAGGCAGCAGATACTAGTTTTTGGTTGTGGTTTTTCCAGAGAATTGAAAGAAGTCTGAGGAGAAGTTTGGAATAGTTTCTTCTGTTTCTGGATAATTCTTCTGTTTTTGAAGTAAGAGAAGACTTTTCTAAGTTGAAATATTTACAACTTTTTTGCTCTTTACATATTGATGATTTCTATTTTCAGGTCTTTATTTTATTTTCCCTATTTTCCCAATGCTTCAAAACTACTTCACCTTTATCCTTTTAGTGCAATAGCTTGCTCCTCCATCTTGTATACTATACATGCATGTAAATATCATTTGAATGAAACTAGGGCTGCAATTCTATACACCCTTACCAGGGAGCATACTAATTGTGTTTTGTTTATTATAATTGCATTTTACTGCAGGGTGGAGCAAGGTGCATGTAGGATTTACTGCCTTGTGGCTGGTTTGGGTACTATGAACCTTGAGTTGGTGATGACACAATTTGCCAGTCCACAATAAAATGGCCTGGGCTGGCCTTTTCTGGGAGGAAGCCCCAAAAACCCAGAATGAGTCTGAAAAGTAAACTTGCATCAGAATTGAATGTCTGGCACTTGTATTTTTAAATGGTAGTTATGCATTGTAAGTTAAACATAATCCATTTTATGTTCCTAAAGCAGCAGTCACATTTAAATAAGAAAATAAATACTGGATATTCTAATTGCAAATTTCAAGTATGAATCCTTATGTAGCCAAAATGACCCCCTCCTATGTGCAAGAGGGAGGTATTTTGTACTTTTGCAGAAGAACAGAATATTTTGAGAGCAGTCCTAACTATCAGTGTGTGCAACAGAAGGGGGAACCTAAAATATTCATTGAGCACAGAGTCCTTACTGACTGATTTTGTGGGGAAAAACCTGTGGCTGGACAAAGCAGAAGGAATGGAACAGGGTATTCCAGTGGACTGTATGGCTGGCTAGTTGGACCGCTAAACCAGAGTACTCCAAGCTGCAATGTTTTCTTATGGGGCTCATTTATAAGTTGTTGTATATATAATGATTGGTGGTGATTAAAGTTTGAGGCTGATTACTTGAATCTTTTCCAGTCAGGGTTTATCCCAGGTTTTATGAATGAAACAGCCTTGGCTGCCTTGGTGGATTATGTATGCCAAGGAACTAATCCTATTGTCCTTTTGGACCTCTCAAGGGCATGTGGTAACATTGAGCATAGTGTGTCTCTGCAGCATTTGGGCAGTATAGGATTTGGGGGCACTGTCTGATGTAATCTGAGCGTTCCCAGAAAAGGGTGCTGGAGGTTACTGTTTACCCCATGGCCCCTATTTTAATCCCCTCTTATATGAAGCCATTGGGAGAGGTTATCTGGAGTTTTGGGGCTGAGCCACATTGCTCTCCTGATGATACTCAGCTCTTTCTCTTTGTCAACTGATGTCAAGAAGGGTGTGGAAGTCCTGAATCCTGCTTGAATGTATTGGATAAAGATTAACAAACTCATTTTGGACAAGACAGAGATACTAATCTGGGACTGGAGCTACAGCCTGCAATAAATGGGGTAGCATTCCTGAAAAGGACCAGTCTCACATCTTGGAGGTATTTCTGGGCCCAGCATTGCTCTCGGAGGGTCAGATAACTGCTGTGGCCAGAAGTGCCTTTGCCCAGCTTCATTTTGTGCATCAGTTATGTTTCTTCCTGGAGAAGTTAGATCTAGTGACAGTGATCCATGACTTAATTACCTTCTATTTAGATTAGTGTAATAAATTCTACATGAGCTGCTCCTAACGAATGATTGGAACCTGAAGAACCTGCAGCCACCAAATTACTTTCTGGTACAAGCTTTGTTTACATCACACAAGTCTTATATTGAGTGCACTGCTGCCCAATCCGTTTCCATGCATAATTCAAGCTGCAAGTACTTCCCTATAAACCCATAAATGGTTTCGAGGCCAGGCGGTCCAAAAACCTGCCTCTGCCTATATGAACTGGCCTATAAGTTAAGGTCTTTTTTGAATGACCTTCAGCATGTCCAAACACAGAGAAAATCTAAATAGGTGGAAAAATGGGATAGGCCTTTATCTGTAGCAGCACCCAACTGTGAAACTGTCTTCAAAGAAAGTTAGGCTGGCCCCTTCTTTTTTCAGATTTAAGTAAGCTCCTAAACCTTTTGTTCTTTTATGGCTTTTGATTATTTTAAACCTTTTTGCACTGTGTGCTCTTTTTAAGATTCTCTCCTGCTCTCAGTTTCTGTTAATGCTGTTGTAATCTGATCTTTATATATTCAAATTATCATAAAGTTATGCATTTAATTGTTACAAATCTTCCATGTAAGTCACCTTGGTGACCCTAAAAGGTGATTCATACATTTATAAATAAACTTCACCCCTCCCCACAAAGTAGGGCACTATCCCATAGGTTCAACGTATTTAGAAACTGTGTATTTCTAATCTACATGCTATAGCAATTGAACACTCTTATTCTTCTTAGTCATCCCATTATCTGCGTGTATTACTTCTCTTGTTTAAGTTTTATGCCAGACATGTTTACCAGGATATATTTATTGCTTTTATTATCCACAGTTGTTTCCAACCTTAATTCTCCCACAACCCTCATTACTGGCAGACACTAGTCACCATACTCCAGCTGGTGGGCTGCCCTCCCACCTTCTCAGGATTGGGCTCCAAGGCTTGTTTACCTTCTGGTCCCACAAGTATGCTGCTCCCCTGTGCCCCAGCGCCCCTACACCCAGCAGACGACGTGACTTGGGTTGATGAATTCGACAGAACCACCAGTTCCTTGCCATGTACACAGGCAGTCTTGTGAATTAAAATCCACGATGGTTTTTTAATAGGAGAAACGAGGAAGAGAAGGACACAGAAGGAAACATAAGTGACGAAGTTGGAACCGATCAGGTCATGCAGCAAGGTGTACAGTGGGAAACAAAATGGGGGGACGTTTAGCTTTGGAAGTTTCTTTCCGATCCAGGCCATCACATATGTGATGCACAGAGACCACGAAGAAGTACTACCGGTTCCTTGCCATGTACACAGGCAGTGTTATGAATTAAAATCCAGCCCGGGTGACGTTTTAAACAGGTGCTGGAAGGGTGTGCCACGCTTTTAGTGGGTGCGACCGTGTTGCTAAGGCACAGCTAAGTAATTCTTATGAGCTGCAGCATCATGAACAGGAGGAAGTTGTTTGATGTTCACTGGGAGTCATGCCCGTACTAGGGCTGCCTCCTCAGCGAGCGGTCTTGTGCTCCGGCTTGTCCCGTCTCGCCCCCTTTTGCCATCCTCCCAATAAGCAGAATGACCTCCCCCCGCATTCAAGATCCGAATGTGACCCTAACTTCCATTATTTTCCTTTATTCCTAGGACAATATTGTGAAGTCGGTTAGACCGGTAGAGACACTGTCTCAATCTGAGCGGAACTCTGAACCTGGGTCCTTGGGTTTATATCCCGCACTACTGGTGCGTCACTCTTTCTCACGTGCTGCTGCCCTACACCCGAGTTACACAGCCAGCGCCCTGTACACGGAAAAATCGAGGGAGAGCGGGCGGGAGAGCGAGCCTGTCTGCGCGCCGCGAGGGAAGCTGCCTTAGCGGCGCACCGAGAGGAGGGCCGCGGGGAAAGCACAATTGGGCCAGAAAGGCCTGCCCCGTTTCTCGCCGCCCCAATGGGCGGCCGCGCCGGGCAGAGCCGGAGCGGCGGCGGCGTCTCACGTAGCCTTTTCAAGATGGCCGCCTCTCTGGAGCGACCTGCGGAGGCGGTGGCGACGGCTGTTATGGGGCTGGCGATTCGGAGGGGCCGCTGAGCAGGGTGACAGCCGGCTGGCGCCGTTTCTCTTGCGGCGGGAGGCGAGCGCAGACGTTGCGGGCTGCGGCAGGAGCGGACGCACCATGCGGCGGGGCTAGAGCCGCAGGCTTCCACCGCGAGTAATGATGTTAGCGGAGGTAAGGGGCCGGCGGCGAAGACGGGCGAAGGTCGGGGCGGGGGCTCGGTCGTCCGTTGCCGCGGGCCCTCCCGGCGCCCGTCTGAGGCGGTGTCCCGGGCCCGGCGCCCGTCTGAGGCGGTGTCCGCACGTCCTGGGCCGCCTTCACCGGACCCAACCAAGGCTGCCGCAGCGGAGCCGCTCCAGGTGGAGTCGGTTGGCCTCTGGATAGCCTCACCGTCAGTTGTGGTTTTCTGTCTGGCTGGTACTCTTATGTTACTTCAGCAACGAAACTGGCGAGATTCCTTCTCCCGTCCCTCAGCAGGCCCGGCCGGCCGAGGATTGCTTTGGCATTCATTAAGACGTCAGTATGATTAGGCTAATACCTGCTCCGGATTACAGTTTTGCACGACCAGGCCTTCCAAAGGTTTGCTTCGAAATGTAGGTCCTCCAGCACTATTTACATGCGTTTCGTGCTTCGTTGAATAACATGCGCTCCTTCTTTCTTCCCCTTTCCCCATTAACTGACTATTGAAAAAGCTTTGGGTCATGAGGTGACAGAGAAGACAAGCACTCCTGGCTCCAGCTCCCAATGCTTCATTGTGTGTTATTCAGCACTTTCCTTCTGTGCCTCAGTTTCTCTCATGTGACTGTGCAGTTTATTTTAGGAGAGGAAAGACCGAGATGTTGCCGTTTATTGTTTTTCAGAACATTGTAAGTAGAACAGGAGATAGGAAACAAGTCTAGATTATTTTGGAGAAGGGGGTGTGTGACTGGAAAAAAAAAACAGTGAGCACAGCTATGGCACTCCTGTTTTTTTCAGGAGTCCAGTGCTTTCTCCAAATGACTTTGAGTTCTTGTTGCTGTCATCTTGGTTGAATGCCAGTTTCGGTGTGGTGAGCATAAAGATGGATTGCTGTGTTGTTCCACCTTAAGGGAGGAAAATTGGTTTGTTGTATATTGGCTGCAGAACTGTCTGCAAATTTTTATGCATTGCAGAAACATTTGTGAAGCAGTTGATTTTTGCTTTTGCATGCTTTGGCTCATTGAAGTGGTCAGCTGTTAGGATCATAGTGCCTGTTGTATAACATGCTCAGTACCTTGTGATTAGGCTATTGTCACCTGTACTGGATTGCCTTGGTGCCAAAGGATCATGCTGAATATATAAAGCTGCCTTAAACCATTGCTACTATCTAGTCTGAGTGAACACCTGTGCAATCGTGAACTTTTTCAGCCTCGTTACCTGACATTATCTGAACTGGAGATGCTGGTAAGTGAACCTGGGACTTCCTGGTTGCAAAACATGTGATGTGCTCTCATCAGTAGACTTAGAACCCCTGTCTTAAGTAAGAACTGATTGATCAGTTACTTTGCTGATGCTACCAAGTTCTTGCACTAGCAATGTGTGTATGGGGAAGGTAGGTTTGGCAGAGCAACTTCTGTTACATCCTGTGAGCCTGGGAAAGTTCAGTGTAATTTGAAAGCCCATATCCTTCTGCAAAACTGAAACAAATGAATTACTCTTTGTAGTGATGTAGTAAAACTGTAGTGATTTATAGGAAAAAATGTAGGTATAACTAATAACAAACAGCATTTCTATACTGCTTTTGTGTGTTCTAAGTGTTTCACTTATGCATATTGATAAACCTCTTATAACAGCTCTGCAAGGGAAGTCAGTATTATTAACTCCAAATTGCTAGCAGTCTGGGGCTGAGAGATGAGACCACACCTAGTACATTTGTGGTAAGAAACATGTTCATAACCTTCATCTTTAGTGGGTTCAACCCAGTATTTATCATACCGAACATATGAGTTTTAATATTTACTCTTATCAGTTACTTGAAAGTTCATTTGACCTGATGGAAATTGAAGAATTTAATAATATTTAGAATGAAATACAATTTTGAAGAAGTTCTTTTCCTGTCAATATGTATTTCATATACCTGAAGCATCTACTGTTATTGGGTATGATACAGCCTAACAGGAATTTTCTATTTTGATCTGCCCTTTTTGCCCTCTTCAGGTATATTCACTCAGAATGAGCACTGCAGAGTGGCACTGGTAGATTTCTTATCTGTTAACATAAGAGCTGGGGACTAAGATGCCTTGCACAGAAAGAACTTGGCTAATATTTGAGTACGGCTATCTGTGAGAGTACAGTTTTCCTCCGTATTAGCATACAATCTTAAGTGTGTTTAAACATGTACAGGATTGTATTCTCAGCCTTTATTAACTGGATTTTGATGAGAAGATATAATCAAATTTTGGAATAAATAGATACATGCTGGTATGTATGATTTTTGCTTGGTGGTAGAATATTATATATGCCAAGATACAGTTGCTCACAGTACAGTTCTAGGCATGCTCTTTAGTTTAATTTATATGCCACTTTCTCCATGTTGGACTGTACCATAGCAGCTCACAATAAATGTTAAAATACATAATAAAGAGTTAATTAAAAGCACTCAAACAGATTTTAATAGGACAGAATCAAGAAGTCAGATCAATGTCACAATGAAATGATACAGTCGAGTGCAAACAAAAGGTTGCAATTAATAGCCATAAAAAGCTAATTAACTTGTCAATGTTACTGTTGGTCTTGCTCCAGTCCTAGGATCACAGCAGTCTGGTTGAAATACAGTGGAAAACTTGGGGATGGTTCACCATTCTAGATTGTTTGCTGCTGGCACCTTCATTTGTCTTTCACAGAGGCACTGGTATCAGAAAATGGGCAATGCTGGAGAGTGATGATAAGTCCTTTTCCCCAGCCTTATTAATGTTCTGGCTGGTAGTGTGTGTGTCATTGTAGCTACATAGTTTTGCATTATCTTCTCAATAGCTAGACTTGATTGATCTGAGAACTGTCTTGACTCAGAGGTTCAGAAGCAGACTAGCAGTTTTTCTAGACAGACAATTCCACACCTCTGCCTCTTAATAATTACTCTTCTCTATTTTGTTATATTGTAAATTACTGAAAGACAATTTTATTTGATACTCATAATCAAATAAATTTGGACCTAAATGCTCAAAAATTAAGCATGCTAATATTGTGCTATAATTTTTATTCTTGCCTTCAAGTGACAGTAGCCTTTGTCATCTTGAACTTAACACATTCATTTTAGGTTGCTTTCATCATATTTTAGTGCAAAATCTAGCAACATAAGCATAAAGTTGTCCGCTAAACTTTATTTTAAAGAAGAATCACAGGCTTGGAAAGAAGCAAATGGATACCTAATCCAAGTTCAGTGCAAGGCCTTGCACTTGAGACATAGGGATGTGTGTCATTAGTACAGGCTAGGGGACAAGTGGCTGGAGAGCAGCACTTGTGAAAAGGATCTTGGGGTGCTGGTCAACCGAGGGCTAAACATGAGTCAGCAGTGTGATATGGTAGTCAAGAGGGCAAATGCCACCCTCTGTTGCATAGCCAGAAGCATGGCTTCTAGATCGAGATAGTTATTACTTCCACTGTATATGACTCTGGTGCACCTGCAACTGGAGTATTGTGTTCAGTTCTGGGCCCCTAATTACAAGAGGGGTATAACAAGGTTGGAATCAGAGCAGCATGGAACCACAAGGATGGTGGGTGGTTTGCAGGGTAAATCATATTAGGAGAGACTGAGGGAGCTGGGTCTTTTCAGCCATGAGAAGAGGAGACTCCGAGGGGACCTGTTAGCGACATACAGGTATGTGAGGAGGTGTCATGCAGAGGTGGGTCATGACCTTTTCCTCCCTGTGGTAGAGGGCAGAAAACGTTCCAATTGAGCAAAGATCTGCAAACCAAAATTCAAGGTGGATGCCAGGAAATACTTCCTGATGGTCAGGACCCCTAGGGCATGGGATGGGCTTCCATGGGAAGTAGTTGAAGCCCCATCGGTGAGGGTGTTTAAGGATAGGCTGGATATGCACATGGTAGGCATGTCATGAGTGGAGCCAGCTAGAGCTGGGGGTCAGACTAGATGGCCAGGAGACCCATTCTGCCTTGGTCTGTTTGTATGTTTCTATCAGGAGTAAATAATAGACCTTAAACTGTTTGCAACAGAAGAATGAGCAGTTTCAAAATTTAAAATATCAACATCACTAGCAAATTTGTATAAGAAGAGGTTCACTTCTCTTCTTCAGTCAGGAATCAAATTTCAGAGGATAGCAGCATTAGTCTGTTGTATTAAATACAGGAATAATATTGTGGCACTTTAGAGATTAACAAATTTATTCTTGCAAAAGCTTTTGTGGACTATAGCCCACTTCATCAGATGCATGGTATATCATGGGGAGTTTCAGATTTATATGCAGTATATATGCTGCAAACAGAATTTAGAGAAAAATTTCCATTTTTGGAAATACAAAAAGTGACAGTCACATTATGATAATTTGCAGTGTAGATGCTTCTAATGTCTACTGCCATGTTGTGTTAAGCCAATTAACTTACATTGGCCAGAGGTCACATATCTTGACTTCTACTGGTTGCTTAAACCATAGGTGAGTTGTGAACAATTTGCAAAACGAGCCAGGAATGCCCTGTTCTTCTGAGGTACTTGTTCTTCAGAGTTACTGGACCATAACTGTTTTATTTTAACAAAACAATAAACCACAGGTTAAAACCAGGATTGTTTCTCCTTCACCTAGAGTTCTGGGTCACAGCAAATAATCCAGGAATGCAATTCTACATAGCAATGGCTACCTGTGATTTAAATGACACATGGGTAGGTGTTACATGTGAACCAGGTCATAGCTTGATCAGTTTCCTTAATCACAATTCAGACTTTAGTCAATAGAATGAAACCTTTTGATAACTCAGCAGTCTTTTGATCTAATTTCTCTTTAAAGTCTGTTTGTTCCTCAATGACCATTTTAAGGTCAGTGACAGAATGTTTTGGGTGGCTGGAGCATTCTTTCACTGGTTTTTGAATATTTCTGATTTCAGATTTGTGTCCCTTTATTATATTCTGTAGTAACTGGCTTGGTTATCCTGTGTAGAATGTAGAAGGTTGTTGCTGACAGAAAATGGTGTACCACATTGGACTA